GGTGGCATGTGCCTGTAATCCCAGCTACTCAGGAGGCTGAGACAGGAGAATTGCTTGAATCCAGGAGGCGGAGGTTGTAGTGAGCCGAGATTGCACCACTCCGGTCTGGGTGACAGAGCAAGACTCCGTCAAAAAAAAAAAAAAAAGAGTACATTTTCCATGAAAAACAAGATATAAAGACAGTGAGACAAGTATTTTATAACAGTTACACCATTGCTTTTAATTAAACATAAAACATCTGATATTTCATTCATGGACTCTTAGCATTATTTATAAAATGAAATACCCTTTTTAGTCCATGAAGAAAATTCTATGAAAATAAAAGCATATGCAGTTTTACATATTTACATACTTACATTTTGGAGCACAACAAGACTCTAATTGGGTATTTTCCTTTTATTTGAGGCTCTAGTTTCAATTTAGTATGTCTAAAACGACTAGTAAATACATTATACTGAGTGGTGGGGTAAATGAATTCTTTCAGGCCACAAGGGTACTATTCAGTAAATTACCGCTCTGCACTGGCCGCTGCCTGGTGGCCTCAAATTGACAAACTGCCTTTAAAAGGTGAAACATGTTCTTACTGATTCATCCAAAGGCTCATTATTTGTTATTTATTTAAACTGATGGGAATGAAGAGGCCAAGGATAGAAAAAGAGTCTTTGAAATTTTAACATTTACAAACTTGAGCTACTTAAAGAAAACCTAGGTTTCTACTGCGATATCGTCAGTACATGAGCCAAATAAAACACATTTACTCCCCCAAATTTGGCACACATTGTCTAAATTCAAATCCAAACAGGCAATCCAAGGAGAGCAGTCATTTGGCGTTTTCCTAATCTCCTTACATTTAAATAGAGTACAATACATCCATTATGTTAATCTTTTCCCACCAGAAGCTATTAACATGGTATCTGCTCTTGGTTTAAACATTTCAGTACACGTGGCATCTCTAAATTTTGATAAACTTTCTAATATATAATGAATGTGCTGATATACAAAACTGAAAACTTCTGAAGGCAGTAGAGATGCCTCTGGGTGCTACTCTGGGAACTTTAGCTGCTTGAAAGGTGTCAGGGGACAGGCTCAGATCAATGGGCACACAGATGAGGAATTCTTTGTACCAGGGACATTCTCAACAGTGTAGGCAAAGAAGTCCTAATCAAGACCCCAACCCAGAATATCAATCAAAGGAGGAACAATAAACAGGAATTAGAGCAGAGAAGATAAAAATCCAGGGTCTCTCCAGAAAGACAATACAGGTACTTAAGTTAATCCGTCAGCTTGCATCTGCACCTGGGCCCATTTCTGGCACTAGAACTACCGTTTCAAAAACATAGTTGTATTTAGCTATCTATCACAAGCACGTTTCTATCCCTGCATAAACAGAGTTCAGGTTCAGATTTCTGCGCAATTTCCTTTCCTCTCTTTAAAAAAAAAAAATTCTAGACTCGAACATTCGATACTTGCAGCCGCCACTGAAGTACTCACGGCAAAAATAAAAACAACCTGCAAATGGGAGATGCACATAGTCGGCTTTTCTTTTCCTTGATTTCTTGTTAATATTTTATAATGAATTAGAGGTCAGTAAAAAGTCCCTTTCTTTAATAAATCTTAAAGTAAACAAGTAGAATGCAAATGATTTACACTTTCAATGATCAGTCATTTTAAGAATCTCTCCACGAACTGAGTAAACCATCTGTGACTCAGGCCTCCCTATCATGTTTTTTAAGCTGACCCACTTCTCCATCACTCACCATGGTTCGAAAAATCTCACTTCTAAGGGTGTAGCAAGAACCGCTCTGTGCCAGCGCATAGTTTGAATCCAATAGGGTAAAAGGGTAATGCAAACAGCACTTTAAAAGGACACCAGTTTTTATGTAAAATGACCCACTGCCTCTAAAACGAGAGCATCAACACCGGCCTTCACCTGAAGCAATCCTTTTCTCCAACAGAAGAGCAAATCAAGTCTGTAGGGTTCGGGGGCAAAGGCAAAGGATTAAGAAACCCGATCAAGTGTGAAAATGCTTGGGGCATCGAGTTTTGCAGATCAAATACTAGCTTTGCAAACGGGATGCGGCCAGGTCAGCCAGAGCCCGGCTCGGGGGATCGGCCCTGCTCTGAAAAGCTCTAGGGACACGTGAGGCGGTGCAAAGCCCAGTATCCCCAGCAGGGGCCGGGCCCGGGACCCCCTCGGCGCCAGAACTTTGCGCAGTTCGCCGCCGGCAGCCCCGACACCACCAGGGGCACCTCCATGCCGCTCCACCCACGTCTTTGCCCATTCTTTTTGGGTGGCGGCCGTGGAGAGGGGGTCTGAAGGGACTTAACAAGGATGGCAGGGGGCAGAGGAAGGCGACCTCCTACCCCAGGCTACGGCCGCCACAAAGGGCAGGGCGTCGCGCCTCTCCTCGGCGCCCACCGGAGCCACCCGCGGGCGAGGGCAACACGCGCCTCCTGGGCCAGGCCGCCGGCGGGGATGGGCGAGGCCGGCCGGGGGCGCACGGCAGGTGACAGTAGCGTCGCCGGTCCCTGCCCGGGCCCCAGCCTCCCCGCCCACCCCGGGCCTCGCCTCCCCGCGCACTGTCCTCTCCCGCGAGCCCCGGACCTCACCATGGGCTCCGCGCCGCGGAGAAGCCATCGCGGGGCGGAGCGGCCGAAGAGCCCCCATTCCTGGGAGCCAACCCGCGAGCGAGAGACCCTGGCGCGCGCGGTCCCCGCCCTGTAGCTCCCGGTGCGCCCGCGCGCCGCCCCTACCCTTTGGCGTGCTCCATCTCCTCCTCATTGTCTCCGTCTATCCCGCACGTGTCCTGGTCATCCAGTTCTAGGCTCTGCTGGCTGGCCGCAGACTCGCTGTCCTCCGCCATCGCGGCGGCGCTGGCTGGGGAGGCGGCGCTCGGGGCCGGGCCGGCGCGGCGGGGCGGGCGCGGCCGCAGCTCCCTCTAGTGCCGCCCGCCGTACTGCTTGGAGTCGGAGCCCTGGCGCTGCGCCCCGCCCCGCCTTCCCCGCCCTGCCCCACGGGCTTCAATCCCGCTCTTGAACCCCGCCCACCTCTTCGTCCCTCCCCTCAAGCCCCGCCTCTCCCCGTCCCGCCGGCTTCAATCCAGCTCTCTAACCCCGCCCACCTCTGAGGCCCCTCCCCTCCAGCCCCGCCGCCTCTCCCGGCCCAGCCGGCCTCAATCCCGCCCGCTAACCCCGCCCCATCCCTCCCAGCTTCCCGGCCCTACCCCGCCCCGCCCCGCCAGCTCCAACCCTGCCCACCGTGGCCAGCCCTGCGCAGGGCGAGTCCTGTATATCCAGGCCTGCGCGGTGCCTCTGCCTGGGGCTGGGCTCTCAAGGCTGGAAACCTGCAGACTTGACATCCTGAGTGGCGGCATTTTTGGAACACAGGCCATGCGATTTTACTTCCGGACGACTTAGGGAGCGCTCCCAACCCGTGCAGGGGATTTTCCCACTCAGGAGTAGGCACTCAGGGCTGAGGCTTTCCAGAAGCTCTTCCCGCCCCTCCACATACATGTTAACAATCCATTTCGCATCTATCCATCTAATACATTATAAAATCAAATTCAAAGTCAAAACAGTATTTCAAACCCTCCCACCGCCCTGTCCCAACCAGGCTTGCAGCACTAAAACTCTTGACAGAGAAATTCTTGAGCTACCCGTGCGTTTCCTGGACACTACGGACGGCTCAGACCAGAACAGACATCTTGAGGGACATGGGGACGTGTCCACGATGCTGGGAGATTGGACAGTTTCAGGTAGGCCACCCTGGCTTTCCCAAAGTCAAGGTTATGACCCAGATTTCCAAGCGAACGCGCACGGCCTTCTGCGCTGAAATCGTCCTCTGTCTCTCTCAGAAGAGGGAAGGGAGGCACTCTGTAGTATTGCCAAAGAGAAGGCCGGTGAAGTTCAGCCTCTCTTATTTGCTATTGCATTCTGTACAGAGCAGCCCTGTCCTTCGCTTTGCTGAGATGATCTTGTTCAAAGGTGCTGCCAGGCCACCTGAAGTTTCTGCGGTGGTTTTACAAAGATAGTCGTCAGAACCCGCTCGGTGAGGAATATGAGACTTTAAAGAGCCTAAATTTTTTGGTGTGGGTCCTTTATTTGCAGAAGATACTAGGAGCATTCTATGGCTTTTTTCCCCAAGGGAGACTAAGTTTTTAAAACGCAATGAGCTAGAAGTATCAAAAGATGAAAATTGCCGAGCGATTTCAAAGTCCATCAGCTGTTTGGCGTTGACACAACTAAAATTCTGTAAGAAGGGCAAATGGGGCCAAAACACAAAAGGAAATACAATATTGCCTTTAACAATTGCAACTCTTTGTGAGGCAAAATGTCATATGTCACCTCTGTGAAACTTTAGGATAAAAGCAAATACAGATGAGTGAGGTTCCTGCAGCTCATCTCTACGAACATGGGTTGTTGGAGAACCCGTAGCTCAGTCGGGTAACCAACAGGAAACTGGCCAGGAGCAAGCTTATCAATCAGATCAGCCACTGTAACCTGCCAGAAGGGTTCTCTGAAAGAGTTTTTAAAACTTAAGGCAAAGGAAACTCAGCAAACATTTTTATTTGAATTTTCAAGAAGTTTTGACTAAGAACTGCTCTAAAAAAGAGTAAGAAAACAAATAATCCTGGAGAAATAAAATGAGGGCATCAAAAACCAGTGAAACACTAGAAGACAATGATAAACAGGGAACATCTGTTCCCCAGAACAGAAAGAAGTTGGTCCAGACATCGGTACAGTACTGGATTGAAGTATTATTTAATACAAATGTTTTACAGCATTAATCTTTGGAAGGAGGGAAAAGTTTACAGATGACCCTGGGCCTTCCTAAATCCTACCGTCCTGTATAGAAACACTATGTTTCTAAACATTTTTACTTCTTTCCCTGGCTTAATTCCAGAGTTTGGAGAACTGGAACCAAGTGGCATCTTCCAGCGTCTTATATCTGAAGTTTATTTGGTGGATGGGATCACTGTAGAATGACTTCCAGTGTATTATTTTTTCAAGTTTCAGTTATTTATTAATCAGTGTAATCTCCAATAGGTTACATCAACATGATTTCATTCATTTAGAGGAGAAATATTTCCTAGTGAAGTGGAAAATTGTGCGGATGAATTCTGGAAGACCTTCGGTCTAAAGCAGCTTTGTAGTGAAACATTTCATTTAGAAATCTGGACCTTCGTTCTTCAGTTTGCTGTGATCCACATTCATTGAGTAGAACTTGTATTGATCATCGGGACCCAGTTTGTTCCAGGGATCTGGGTGATTCTTTCTGTCCCAACTAACATCTGGATTGAACAATGCCAGACACAAGAGATACAGTCCTGCTCCAGTACCTCCAGCTCCAATAAATACTAAGAGGGGGATCAAGCTTGGATGCTTCTTAGCCTGACCGATGATCTGGTGGAGCATGTTAGCGGCAGAAACCTCCAATTGGAAAGGAGAGAACCAGCCTAGCCACCAGGCCTTGAGCTAAGTAGTATCTCACCAGTGTATTTTAAAAGGCCTTTGGGAATTTTCTATTCTGCCTGGCCCACTCCTACTACAGATATAAGACTATAGTCATATAATTGGTCTTGTTTTATTTAAACTTCTTTTTTTGACTTCTTTTTTAATTTTGGTAAAATACATACAACATAAAATGTACTATTCTAACCACGTTTTTTGTTTGTTTTGTTTTTGTTTGAGACAGAGTTTCACTCTTGTTGCCCAGGCTGGAGTGCCATGGCACGATCTTGGCTCACTGCAACCTCTGCTTCCCAGGTTCAAGCAATTCTCCTGCCTCAGCTCCCCGAGTAGATGGGATTACAGGTGCCCACCAGCACGCTGGCTAATTTTTGTATTTTTAGTAGAGACGGGGTTTCACTGTATTGGCCAGCCTGGTCTTGAACTCCTGACCTCAAGTGATCCACCCTTCTCGGCCTCCCAAAGTGCTGGGATTATAGGCGTGAGCCACTGTGCCCAGCCTAGAGTGTTTTATTATGCAGTAATAACTAATCAACATACAGAAAAACAAAGACCAAAAGAAATCCTTAGGCCGGGCAGAGTGGCTCACGCCTATAATCCCAGCACTTTGGGAGGCTGAGGCAGGTGGATCACGAGGTCAGGAGATCGAGACCATCCTGGCTAACATGGTGAAAACCTGTCTCTACCAAAGATACAAAAAATTAGCCGGGAGTGGTGGTGGCCACCTGTAGTCCCAGCTGCTCGGGAGGGTGAGCCACGAGAATGGCCTGAACCCAGGAGGCGGAGTTTACAGTGAGCCGAGATCACACTACTGCACTCCAGCCTGGGTGACAAAGAAAGACTGTCTCAAAAAAAAAAAAGGAAAGAAATCCTTAAAGATCCTCATTTTGTTACTATCACGATCACTATCTGTATACCTGGGTATGTCTGAAAAAGACTCAGGCCAAACCATTAGTTTGTACTTTCTATTCTGGGTTCACAAAAGCAAAGCCCCTTGCTTTTGGGATACACTGGCTATTCTTGCTAGCTAGTTTGCTTTAGAGTCGTGTTTGGCTGGATTTTATTTTATTTTTTAAGTGACTCCATTTATTTTTAATTTTTGAGGAACCCTATCACTACCCTGCACCTTTTGCAACTGTGCATTGGAGAAGCTTTTCTCGTGGTCACTGTGAGGGTAATTTTCACTTCCTGTTGCTTGGTATTCTGCTAAAAGGTTTTCGTACTTGTTCAAACCAGCAGGTTGGTGCCACAGTGAGTATTGCAGATCAGCTGCCTTTCAGAATTTCACAGTTGGTGAGTCTGTGTTTTGTCCCCATAGGACAAGTTGGGGCTTGTGGGTGATGCCAAGGAAAATTCTAGAGGAACCAGAATGATGCCACAGCAGATTGGAAGTATGTGTTCATTTAGGAGCTGCAAGGTGCCTCCATTCTATAAATAGGGTCACCTTGAAACTGCACTGCTCGCCAAACTCCTTAAATGTGTTCAGGCTTTCCCCACAAGTACATCACTGGATAGTTTATTGCCAAAGTTAATTAGTTCTTTGATTGATAAGGATAATATATTCCGGAAGTACACTCTCACTGGACATTTTTACTCGCAGTAGAAATACTAAAGGAGGCAAAAGGATCTGTTCTAGTCTGTCCACAATTAGAGCTTCTGTCCCTTTCTGGAAGAAAGGATGGAGGAGAAAGTAACTGGTGAAGAAAGTGAGGGCAGTAGGTAAAGAAGAGGAAGGAGATAGAGGAAAATCAGGAAAGGTAGGAGGAAACAAAGGCAGGGCAGAGGTGAGCACCAGCTGTATACACGCCAAGGGCTGCAGCAGCCTCCAGATGCTGTGTGTCCCTGCATCCAAGCTCTACCGCTCTTTTCAGCAGCACTGCTTGGAAAATTCTTCCATAGCAATCGGAGCATGTTCATCCCCTGACTTAGAAACGACGTGACTCCCAGTTGCGTTCTACATCAAGTCAAATCCCCCTAGGTTGGTATTCAAGGCCTTTCACACCATAACCTCACCGTACCTCTGGTCTTAGCTCTGACCTAAGCCTCTCCAGGCCCTCCATATGCCCCGGTCTCCCTTCCTTGTCTCTGGAGGCACCAGGTCCTTGAATGCCCTTTCCTTACTCCCTGCCATCACTAAGGACACAGCTCCAGCGTTGTCTCCCCTGCCGAGGTTTTATACGTTTGCCATCATCCCGGCACTAGCCCAGCAGTTCCTGAAGAATCATACGTCATGTGCTTCTCTCTGTATCTCCATCACCCAAACAGTGCCTGAAACAAAGAGGACCCTTCATAAGAGCTATAGAATGAATGAATGAATCTATGACACTCCTTTTTTCCCTGCTTGCCAGCCCAATATCTTTTTAAAGCTGTTTTTTAATTTAATTTTTATTATTTGAGATGGGGTCTCACTCTGTCACCCAGGCTGAAGTGCAGTGACTCAGTCTCAGCTCACTTCAATCTCTGCTCCCAGGTTCAAGCAGTTCTCCCACTTTACCCTCCTGAGTAAGTGGGACTACAGGCATGTGCCACCACACCTGGCTAATTTTTGTAATTTTTGGTAGAGGCAGGGCTTTACCATGTTGGCCAGGCTGGTCTCAAACTCCTGACCTCAAGTGATCTGCCCACCTCAGCCTCCCAAAGGGCTGGGATTACAGGCATGAGCCACGGCACCCAGCCTTAGCTGTTTTTTTAAAATTAAAAACATATTTTTTTGAGACAGGGTCTCTAGCCTGTTGCCCAGGCTAGAGTTCAGTGGCAGAATCCCAGCTTACTGCAGCCTCAAACTCCTGGGCTCAAGAGATCTTTCCGCCTCAACCTAAAGTTGTTTTTAATGAGCACCTAATAATATAGCCCATAGAATTTATGGGCTGTGGTGTGATATTTCGATACATACATACAATGTGTAATGATCAAATCAGAGTAATTAGCCAAAAAAATCACTGCAAACATTTATCCTTTCTTTGCGTTAGAAACATTGAAAACCCTCTCTTCTAGCTATTTCAAAATACACAATAAATTGTTAACTATTATGCCCCTATAGTGCTATAGAACACTAGAATTTATTCCTCCTATCCAGCTGTAATTTTGTATCCATTAACCAACCTCTCTAGTCACCCTCCCCACTTTCCTTCCTAGCCACTAGTAACCACTGCTCTACTTTGACCTTCATGAGATCAATTTTTTTAGCTTCCACACGAGTAAGAACATGAAGAATTTATCCTCCTGTGCCTGCTTTATTTCACTTAACATAATGTCCTCCAGGACATTTTTTTTTTTTTTTGGAGACAGGTCTCACTCTGTCACCCAGGCTGGCATGCAGTGGCGTGATCATGGCTTAATGCAGTCTCTACCTCCTGTACTCAAGCGATCCTTCTGCCTCAGCCTCCAGAGCAGCTGGAACTACAGGCACGCACCACCACATCCAGCTAATTTTAAAAATTATTAATACTTTATAGAGACAGGGTCTCTCTGTGTTCCTCAGGCTGGTCTCCAACTCCTGGGTTCGAGCAGTCCTCCCACCTTGGCCTCCCAAAGTGCTAGAATTATAGGTGTGAGCCACTGTACATGGCTCAGGACCTTTTATTAGTCTAGTTGCAGAAGTATTCAGACACAATTTCTCCTTACCATAGATTTTCATAAAAACTCAAAGTACAGTGATAGGAAGGAGAGATACAGTTTTAGTTGTTTCTTCTAAAAACAGAGATTTCTTCCAGGAATTATATGGGAGCACACGGTTGTTCACACTCCTTCAAAAACAAAATATGTGACAGTTAAAGAGAAAAGAAAACCTGACTAAAAAGCAAAAGAAAAGCCGGGTGCAGTGGCTCACACCTGTCATCCCAGCACATTGGGAGGCTGAGGCAGGAGGATTGCTTGAGCCCAGGCATTTGAGACAAGCTTGGGCCATGTGGTGAGACCTCATCTCTACAAAAAATAAAACTAAAAAATTTGCTGGGTGTGGGGGTGCATGCCTGTAGTCCCAGCTACTAGGGAGGCTGTGGCAGGAGAATCACTTGAACCCAGGAGGTGCAGGTTGCAGTGAGCCAAGATTGCACCACTGCACTCCAGCCTGGGTGACAGAGTGAGACTACGTCCCACCCTCCCCCCCGCCCCAAAAAAAAAGCTTTTATCCAAAAGTCAGGCAATAACAAATGCTGGTGAGGATGTGGAAAAAAGGGAACACTTGTACACTGTTGGTGGAAATGTGAATTAGTATAGCCACTATGGAGAACACTTTGGAAGTTCCTCAAAAAACTGAAAATAGACCCACTATACGATCCAGCAATCCCACTGCTGAGTATATACCCCAAAGAAAGGAAATCAGTATATCAAAGAGATAGCTGCACTCCCATGTTTATTGCAACACAATAGCCAAGATTTCAAAGCAACCTCAGTGCCTATCAACCGACAAATGGATAAAGAAAATGTGGTGTATACACACGATGGAGTACTATTCAGCCATAAGAAAAGAATGAGATCCAGTCATTTGCAACAACATGGATGGAACTAGAGGTTATTATGTTAAGTGAAACATGCCAGGCACAGAAAGACAAACTTCGCGTGTTCTCACCTATTTGTGGGATCTAAAAATCAAAACAATTAAACTCATGGAGAGAGAGAGTAGAAGCATGGTTACCAGAGACCGGGAAGGGTGGGGGGAGTTGGGGGAAAGAAGGGATGGTTAATGGATATAAAATATAGTCAGAAGGAATTAATAAGATCTAGTATTTACTAGCACAACAGGGTGACTATAGTCAATAATTGTACATTTAAAAAAACCTAAAAGAGTATAATTTGATTGTAACATAAAGGATAAATGCTTGAGATGGATGCCCCTTTTAGGCTGATGTGATTATTACACGTTGTGTGTCCGCATCAAAATATCTCATGTAACTCATAAATATATGTACCTACTATGTGCTTACAGAAATTAAAAATTAAAGGAA